TTATCCTAGTGAAAACTATCACAGCTCCCCAAGCAGCAGCTGTACCCACGGGGTGGGGGTGGCACCCAAAGGAGGCTTGGGTTTCTACTTTGTTGTTCAAGCAACAGATTTTTTTTAAGCACAAGCAATATAGATCCAAGTAATTAAATAAATACTTGTATTATGATAACTATCTAACTAGGTGAGCTTTAGTCTTCAGAAGAAAAAAGCTATCAAAGCACACATGGATATGCCAGACTTGATTACTCTTGGTAAATTCTTACAGTGTAGAATTCATTTATGTTCCTGACTGCACATACTGCTACCACTCAATAAAAACATAACATTAACCACAAATGCAAACCATATATATAATTTACAGTTTTCGAGCAGCCTCATTAAAGATAGTAAAAAAAGTTATATTTGATTTAATAATATTTTTATTTAACTCAGGAAATCCAAAATGTTATCATTTCAACATGTAACCAATATGTAAAACTGGGATATTCCACATTCTTTTTTTCATACTAAATCTCCAGAATACAGTATGTATTTCATATTTACAACACACTTCTACTTAGACTTAGTCGTATTTCAAGTGCTTAACACATGTGGCTAGTGGCTACCAAACTGGAGAGGGCACTGGAAAGAGAAACGAAAACAACTTTTAAATAAAATTAATTCAAAATTCTTAATTGAAGGTTTTCAGGGGTTGGGGACCACAACAACTAAACATAAAATAGTGGAAACTAAACAGCTGGCCAGTCTGGAATCTAGTTTACTAACTTCCTCTCCCTATAATTAAAGCAATTGCCGACCTTATAGAAAAAAAATCAAAAACAGTGTAAAGAACCAAATTAAAGGCTAGATACAATGTAACAACATAGATGGACACCAAACCAGTAATAACCACAGAAATGTAAAAAATTATTTGACAAGTTAATCTACAACCTTCCTAAGCCGATTCTAACCGTACCTCACAACTGAAACAGAAACCAGCGGCTGCTGGGAGCACATGCCCTGGGCACACGCTCATTAAGCACTTTCCCCTCCACTAGCTGCTCCTGGAACTCTACTGTAGAAGTTTGGAACTGGAAAAGCTGGAGAGTTCACTGCTCTTTACTGGATAAAGTTAAGGGGGCTCCTTCAAGTTTGATTCTGAAAACCCTTCAGTATCTTTCAGGGTGAAGTGGACCGTGAAAACCACTCTAGTTCAAAGGTAAGACAACATCAACTCCAGAGTCAGACTGACCTGGGTTTAGTCTTGGCTTTAACATCCTGCAGCTATGTGACTCTGGACAAGCACTTAACTCCTTTAAGCTTTCTTCTTTTTCTTTACAAATAAATAAGGCTGTAAGGATGAAATATATGTGGCACATAGAAAGCGTTCAACATAAAAACTGTTCTTATTATAAACTCTGGTGACACCCGAACTCCTCGACCCTACGCACAATGGTGGAAGACAGTACATGCTGACACGTGATGGGGGTAGCTTGCAAAGCAAAACACAGCTTCCAACAGTGCACTACAGAGGCAGCCAGGAACCATTCCTCGGCCCAAAGAGCCCGGCGTGCTTGGTGGTTGGTAGCTGCTCTCATTTTGATTGTTTTTTGTATTTAACACTCTTTAACCCAACAGATGTGGGCTGATTCAAGAAAAATGTTTGGAAGCCAGCATCCAACACCATGAAGTCTGTATGACACTAGGCTCTGTGTGACACACACAAGGGACCTCATCCCTGCGATCCACTAGCTCATTCCCTTCACAGCGCTGACAATGCTGGCTACTTGTTTACGCGTCCACTGTCACATTTATTTCCCCCTAAACCCGTGCTCCTTGAGTGCAGGACTCTGTCTTACTGTTTCCATGTGGCTGGCACAAGGCAGGCACTCAGCAAATAGCTGCTGGATTAACTGACAGCCTCAACGCACCAGACTCCTGCCGGGGTCCACCCCTCCAGCAGAACTGGAGTGAAGGAGCAATAATGCCTCAATTCTCACAACATTTATTCAGTCACTCACAAATGAGGCCATACAGCACAGACTCCAAAGTGAGACTGATGGGGCTCAAGTCCCAGCTAGTACCGTGGACCTCAGGCAAGTTACTGAACTTCCCAGGGCCTCAGTCTTCTCATGTGTAAACTGGGAATAATGACAGCACCTCAGGGAAGCTGTGGCATTAAAAGAGCTAACAGTTATAAACTGTTAGCGAAAGCACCATGCACACGGTAAGAAGCCCGCATCAGCCACTACCAGCAGTAGCACTATTATTACCATCTCTTATCCCAAAACAGGAAGAAGGAAGGGACCCCAGGGCTGAGGCTGCCCTCTATCTATAAATCATTAGACTTTTTCAACCCATAATCCCCCCTACAGATAAATCCTTTCTTGCTGCCCATCCTTCAGTACCTTTCCCTTTAAGAATGTCCTCAATGTATTGGCAAAGAGTAAAAAAAAAATGAAAAATCATCCAAAACAAAAATACACTCAGGGGAATTCTACCCTCCAAACCTTTAAAACTGCAGAAAATGTCAGAACTAAAGAGCTTTTAGAGTCTACAGCCATTTCATTTCCCACACTGGTATAAACAAGCTTAGTGAAGTTAAACTGACTGAAGCAATTCAAGCAGCCTGTTAGTAAATAAAATTAACATCCCTCAACTCCATTTACACCCTCACTGTACATATTATTTTTAAATACACTAGAGTTAAAAAAAAAAACTTAATCACCAATAAAAATCATCACCACAGATTGCCACTGACATTTTGATGAAGATCCTTTTAAATAAGTGTCTCTGAGGCTCAGCAGCTCCCAAAGATGACTTTACCAGAATGAAAAAAACAGCATTGGTTCTAACAAAAGATTTTTGCAAAGGGACATTCACCAATCAAACTGTTTCCTTAAAGTGCTACTTTTTAATTTTTTTAAACAAGCAAACAATTCATTTAGGTACTTTTTAAAGTTTCCCGTCAACAGCATCGACTACATAGGCACGTTAAGTTACAGAAAAGCAAATCAAAGACTGGAGAGATTAAGGCATCTTTCCCAAGTAGGACCCAGCTCATGGATAGCCACAGTCAGCAACGCCAAGGTCACCAGATCTGGTGTTTCATCCATATATTGAAAAAAGCAGAAAATCACCAGAACACCACTTTCTATATGAACTGTCCTGAAGCAACTCCACAGAAGAGCAATTACAGCTCCCCAGTCTGAGGCCCCAGCTCACCCGGACAGCTTTCACCAAAAGCAAGATGCCCACGGGCCTCTCTCGCAGAGATTACAGTTCCCTGAGCCTAGAATGTGGCCCACTTCTTATTTAAAGACTAAAGGCTTAAGGAAACTGAGTTGAATTAGTATATTTTAACAATCTGATGTACAAATGGGCTCTGTTATTCATTCATTCACTCAACTAGTCTTTATGGAGCATCTTACAATGTGCCAGGCAAGGTCCTAAGCCCCTGGGACACAGCAATGAACAAGACTCAGGTCTGTGCTCCAGGGCACTTTTATTTGACTGGGCAGACAGACAGTCAGTCAGGTAAATAACACCAGTTCTGGTGTAAATAAATTCTAGGAAGAGAAATAAAGCTGGACAAGGCGCTAGAAAGTAACTGGAGGGTAAAAATGTGGCTATTTTAGATAAGGGTGGTCAGGTAAAGTCTCGTGGAAAAGGGAACATCTGACCAGAGATCTGAATGCTGAAGACCCTGCAGTGTTACCCCTGATCCACGTTTGGCTAGGGGATACCACATAAAACGAGCTTTCTGATTCCCAAACACTTAACACATAAAAAAGACTTGACAATACAAGACAAAACTCAGGTGTTTCCAGTAATAATGCTATAAAATGTATATACTATGGACTGGCTTAGGGAAGGAGAAAATCTAATTGAATCTGGGCCTTAATGGGTGAATATGATTCCAGTTCACAGAAGTGAGGGAAGGAGCTTTTCATCAGAGCAAAACCACCAACAGTCGCACAGGAATAAAAAGTACAAAGACAAATCTAAAGTATCAAAATAACCCTGTTGACCAAAATCAGAGAATAAAAAGGTGGAAACAGGGGAGGCTTAGGAAGGAATGCCTTTTCCCCTGTTCGTCTAGAAAACACCTATATATCCAAGACCAGGTTGGAAGACTTCACCTTCTATGAGGGACTCACTCTCTCAGAGGCAATTACTGCTTTTCTGAGTTGCCGCCCACCTGCGTCTGTTCATGTCTAACGCCGAGATTACTTTTCTGTCACAAAGTCTACATTCTCCATCACCGTCATCTCTGTTCACAGTTCCTAACACACAAACAGCATACGAAATCTATTTGTTTTAATTAACTAACATAGAGTAAAATGAGATGGAAGGTCCAAAGACTGGAAAACTTAAAACAGTAAAAATGTCAGTGCTCCCTAAATTGATTTAAGGTTTAATGTAAATCCTATCAAAATCCTAGCAAGGTACTGACTTTATAGACATAGAAAAGCTTCTAAAATTTATGTGGAAAAGCACAGGCCCTAGAAAATAGCTAAAACAATCTTGAGAAAGAAGAATAAAATGGAAAAAATCACTCTACCCGATATTAAGGCTTATGACATAGGTACAGTACTCAAGACCATGTAGTACTGGTGAAAAGACAGACAAATACATCAATGGAAAAGAAAACAGAACCCAGAAACAGACCCACCCAAATATGCCCAACTGATTTTTGACAAAAGTAACCCAATGGAGGAAGAATAGCATTTTCAACAAATGGTACTAGACCAACTAAATACCCACAGGCCACAAAAAAACAAATGGGCCATGAACTTAAAAATATTAAACATAAACCTATAAAATCTTTAGGAAAAATAGAAAAATTTTGGGAATCTAGTGCTAAGTAAACACTTTTGACTTGAAAGCACAATCCATAAAAGGAAAGATTGACAAATTGTACTTCATAAAAATTAAAAATTTTTACTTAGCAAAAGACCATGTGAAGACAGTGAAGGCAAACTACAGACTGGGAGATAACATTTGCAAACCACATATCTGACAAATGAATAGTATCTGGAATATATAAAGAACTTTCAAAATACAGCAGTAAAAAACCAAGCAATCCAATTGGAAAACAGGCAGAAGACAGCTGCAGACATTTCACTGAAGAGGACCTACAGATGGCAAATGAACACCTGGAAAGTTGTTCAACATCATTAGCCACCAGGCAAATGCAAATTAAAACCACCATGAGATGCCACCACGTATCTATTAGATACCTAAATTAAAACACACCCGAAACCTCAGTCTATCTTTACAAAATGCTCGTAAGGATGTGGAGCAAATGAAACATGAATTAAAACCACAGTCCTGAGACATCACTACACACCTGCTGAAATGTTCAAAATAAAAACCACTAAATGCTAACGAGGATGCAGAGAAACTGGACCACTCATAAAATGCCAGGGGGAATGTAAACAGTGTAGCCTCTTGGGAACCAGTTTGGCAGTTTCTTAAAAAAAACTAAACACGCAACTACCACACAGCCCAGCAACCGCACGCTCATGTTCACACAAAAACCTGTACACGGCAATCATCACCAAAGAGAGGAAATAACCCAGACGTTCTTAAATGGATGAATGGTTAAACTGCAGAACATCCATACAATGGAATACAACTCGGTAATAAAAAAGAAAAAACTACTAATACACATATCAACTAAAATGAATCTCCAGAGTATTACGCTGAGTAAAAAAAGCCAATCCCAGAAGGCTATATACTGTATGTTCCATTTATGTAACATTCTTGAAATGAAAAAGGAACAGAAATGGAGGTTAGACTAGTAGTTACTAGGGATTAAGGAGGGGGCTGAGGGCAGAAAGGAAATTAGTACGGATACAAAAGGGAAGCATGAAGGATCCCTGTGTAAAAATGTTCTGTATCTTGACTATATCAATGTCAGATTCTTGGTGAACATAGTACTACCTTTTATAAGATGTTACCACTGTAGGAAACTGGGCAAAATGTTTAGTCTCTCTCTGTAATATTTCTTTCAAATGTATGTGAATCTACAGTCAAAACATTTTTAACTACAAAAAAATGGGATGGAAGGCAATGAAATTAACCTTAGAAGTGAAAAGATGCTCTTTGGGGGAAAAAAAAAGAGAAGAGAGAACAGGTTAAGGGAGGCAGAGTATCCAGGAGACAGGAGATCTTACCTCTCAACTGACGTTCAAAGCTAACTGCATCGGGAGGAATGGGGGTTACCAATGAGAAGTTCATATGGCAGAGGTGGGAGCTTTAAAGGAATCAGGAAAACCTGGACTATCAGTTAAAGTCTGTGGGAAGCATAACTAAAAATCAACAGTCACACAGTGTCCTCCCCCACTTGTCTCATTACATCTAAAGAGCTAGTCTCTACTTGCCGATTTATTATAGAGGTTGTCAGATTCTGTTTTATCTATAAAGCTGCAAATATTCATTAAAACTGAAATTTTTCTTAAAAAAAAACAAATCTATCACCACAATTTGCACATCTCTATGAAATTCAACATAATGGAACTTTAGTTGTAAAATTATAATGTAATCGTAGCAATGACAAGAATACAAATTAATATTAGTATTTCTACCTTAAAGAAAAGGACAGGGACAATAACGGGTCCAAATAAAACGGGTCTGAAAGAGAAAACGTCTTATGGTCACACAAAAGTTAGTGACAAGAGTAGGATTAGAAGTCCAGATTCTCAACCATGGTAATGATTACTATAATATTCATTTTTTTTCTTCCTCCCACAAAGAATCTCTTTCTTCCTCTTATGTGGATAAGGGTATGGAACTGGGGGCTTCCACAATTGGCTGATGTAACAAGCAATATTTATTTCTTTTTATTATCATTTTCAATTTTTTACAATGCCCCTCAGGAAAGTCTGTGGAACTCGAACGTTCTAGGATACCTAATTAGAAAAGCTGCAGGTGAACTTCCCCAAAGCGGCACCAGCATTTGTTTTGAGAACATTTTTAGACTAAATTGTCAATGATGCCTGATAAAATTCAACCAGGCAAATGTATCAGTTAACTAGAACTTAACTTTAATCAACAAGTATTTCCTGAGTGGTCAAGTCCAGTCCCTGCAGAGGCACCAGGGACACCGTAGTAATGAAAGTGTGACAGTGTAGTTCCTGCTCCTGTCTAGCAAACAGCAGTGAGATCTAATAAATGCTAACGAGGAAATAAACACAAGGAGCCGGAGCCCCACAGGATCCTGAGAAGTCGCCTCTGCCAGTAGGAAGACAATCAGATAACCCAGGGGAAGTGATAACAGGAGACCTTAAAGATGAGCAGGTATCAGCCAACTGAGAAGTGGACAGAAGAAAATGTAACAGATTGACACAAATATTTACAACCATTCACTTAATAAAATGATCTGAAAAGGAGAGGAATCCTCAAGCGAATGAAGAGGAAACTAGCAATACAATCTGACAGCCAACAGGCAAGTGGTAACTGAGGCTGCTGGTCAGAGAAAGATAAAATCGGAGACAGGCTGGCTGTGTGGAAGCCCGGAAGACGGTGCTTGGTGCCAGGGAAACCAAGGCATTGGGCACCTGCAAACGTGGACCTGTGGATGGGTGGTAAAACAGGAAGTCCACGGTTCAAATTCTGAATTAGCATTCCACATCTCCTCGCCAACTCAAAGAGAAAAACTATCCTTTCCCTTCCAGATACTGGACTCAATGACAACGGGTGTAGCGGAGGGGAGAAGGGACGCAGAGGGTGAAAGAAAAAAGAACAAGGAGATGAGATGGCATTCTACTCCCTAAATGGTGAGAATTTTGGCCCTCTCCCTTCCTCTTGGCAACCAGAATACCAGAAGCTGGGTTTATACCCTTCTCTAGGCAAGATTCTGGGAAACCTGACACACAGACTCCACCCCTCTCCTCCACCAGCCCAAAAGGACCTCAGGATAATTACAGCTGAAGATTCACCAACAAAGGGGCCCTACCAGATCCTCCTCTATTGAAGCTCACAGTTTATAAGCCCCACATATGTGTGATGAGCCATTTAAGCAGAAGGACCACAATTTCTCACTTTAAATCTCATCTAAACTTTAAAAACTCTGTGCTTTGACAAAAATTAAATAAGACAATGGTAGGCACAGGAAGGATGGAAAGGAAATGTGACAGAAGAGCATCCAAGCAGAGGATTTTGTCATTTTTATATACAAGGTAACTTAAAATAGAATTCAAATCACTCTCAATCCTAATAAAAGTGCATGCCAAAACAGGGTACCTAAAAAGTAAGAAGTACTCAACCTGTATATCCATTAACATAGATGGCAACTCCACTAAAAATTGTAGATGAAGTTCCATCCTTCTGTAAAGCAGCATCTGATCGAAACTGTTGCTCCAATTTCTGGACCTTGGCAGCCATATACTCACCCTAGAGTTAAAGAAAAGGTAAATTAATCACAAAAGTTTTATTTTCTTCCCCCTCGCCCCTTTTAAGATAAAGTCATATTTAAAAAAACAATGAAAGGACCTTATTCTGTGCTCGTGACCAAGGTGTAAGATGACAGAAGGTACAATGATAAACATGAACCATAAAGGCAGGGCAATTAAGCAGGCAGGTCAAGGAAGGTGTTCCTTCTGTCAAATCCACTTTTAATAACTCGATCACATTCTTATAATGATAAAAGTTACTTGAAAAGAGGGAAAAGGTAAGTCAGGAATAAACACTTTGATGCTACAAAATTTTTTTCTTATCTACAAAATCAAGCAAAAGTTACACCAAAGTTTAAACCAATTAAAAACTTGACAAGTGGTCAATAAGAGTGTATTTCAGACTGGTTTCTACTGTCTGCTGTATACAGGAAGCTTAAAATTAACAGCTTCAAGGAAAACGAAGCAGTTTAACAACCAGTACAGTCCTCCATACATGTAGATAAGAACACAATAAATGATTCAGTGGCTAAATTCTGGATTTATTTATTTGACAGCAGTACTAATTTTCATTAGATAACATCAACCTCAAAAACAATATAAATAAAAACATTATTATTTTTGCTAAAGACGTTTACATACCTATGAATTCAGACACACTTTTCCTGAACATTGAAACAATCATGCTCAATTTGAATTATCAATTAAGTCTTTACCAATTCTACTTTACCAATAAAGTCTTTAAACTAAAGCTGCAGGTATCCAGGAGTAGCATATGTTTTCTTCCAAAAAGGAAATGACTCATTGTTTTCCATTATTCAAATATTCAAAAAAAATTTTTTTCCAGAAAATATGAAGAAGATAATTTAAATTAGCTGTGATCCCATTCATTGCTAACATTTTGGGACCTTATTTTCAAAGTGTATTTCTGTGCCTTAGAACATAGAGGTTCTGTGTTCAAATAGGATCATATATCCTATTCCTTTATAATATACCCTTTTAGACACAGCCATCCTGCCAGGTTATGAAATGTACAGCCAAATGATGGGTGCACAATGCTCCATTTTATTTAAAGAGGTAATTTACCTGACCAATCTCCTATTCTGGATGTCTATTTTTTCCTGTTTTTCAGTGTTGTTAACAATGCTGCAATAAAATTATCATAACAATAAATTTTGTGCACTAAAACACTTACTTCTCAGGGCAAAATTTCTCAGAGTAAAGTTTAAGCTTTCAATATATTTTGAAAACGCAAAGAATTGGTGTCTAAAGTGATTTACAAATTAGAAAATGCCTTAAACCACATTATAAACTAAAAGAAGAATGAAAAATACCTAGCCAGTTCAATATAATTATTTTTATTCTTTGAAAACACACCCAGTTCTCCCAGCCATCATTTTCAGCTCGCTTCCTCCATCCACCTCGTCTCATGGTGGAGCTTCTGTATTGGGGAAAAAAAGAAATACATCAATTTCATAACGTAATGTACTACGAATTGCTATTTTATTTCATTATCAAGAAAAATGAGAAATTAAAATCAATTCAAATGATCAATTCATGAAAATTTAACGTACAATACTGAGGAAACTTTCCCCAAAGCATGTCATTCACTGCTTCACTAGTGAAGTTAGTTCCCAAAATACTCCTTCCAGATTAGTATCAGGCTTTAATCATAATTACTTCAAATTTTAATTTTAATAGTAAGAACTTTTATGCATTTCTGAGCATCAATCCTAGTACTCACATAAAACATCCAACTAAATCCAACTAAAATACTGTGCTTCCTTGTTAACATTAATTAGTGTTAACAGAATCTAACATTTTCCTTCATGAATTGCCCTATAACATGACTCTTAAATTCTGTCTTTGCTATTACATACTGAACACTTAAGAGTGTATCACGGTGTAATTAATTTATTATGCAAGAATCCTAAAAGAAGTCAATTAAAAGAATACGACTAGGGGACATGATGCAGAAAGACGATCACTGACAATAAATCAGTAAATCCGGCATTCTCTGTAAGGCAACATGTGCCCAACTACACCATAAAACCACCAAAATGACCAAACGACAGCTCAAGTATCAGCTGGCTTACTGGCAAGCAAGGTATAAATCAAAGCATGCACTAAATGAAACTCCGTGTAATGTCAAATTCTTCTAACCCAAAGGGATACATCTTGGGATGTGACTGCATTATCCTTCACAAAATTAATGTGATCTCTATTTAGGTATGTCTCTTCTGATAACTATACAGGTTAATGTCAAATGGTTACCATATACCAATGGAGAAGACCTTCTACATTATCCAAGTCAAACTGGCTTTGATATGGTTTATAAGAATCTTTTACTGAATAACACCTTTTACTGAATAAAACATCCACACTTTATCCACATACATAAGCAGATATTTTCTTTCAAATATTTTTATTCTTAGTACATTTTAGGATCAACAGTTTCTCGTTGCTGACTTTATATAAATTAAGAACTTTTACTGTCTGCTAAAAGGTGCCTACAAGACCAGCAGATATTCCCAGAGTTAGTAGAGGCACAAGGGGCAGGTGCAAAGAGCTCTGGGGCAGGAGGCTGATCCAGTGTTGTGGATGCCGGAGGCAAGAAGGGCTGTTTTGCCTTTTGCAGTGGGATGAAGGTACGGGCGGGGCTACCCAACGTGCTCATCCCAAGTCCCAGGACTGCCAGCTGTGCTGTTCAATGCTTCTGATTTCAAGAGGCTCACTTTGCCCAGTCCCTCAAGACTCCCCCTTATCTCAAAGGAGTCTGGGAGACGTGTTAACACATAGTTCTTGACTTCACATAAACTCTGAAACCAGACAGCTGCTCTTAGAAGAAGTGTGTGGGAGTTCTGGCCATTGTACATTAAGAATACATACTCACAAAATTATATGCAACTATTAATCTGCTAAATGAAGGTAAGTTAAAAAACAAAATCTATTTTAAAAGTTTAATTCACCTGGCCACTTAAGAGCGTCATTTATTTAAGATCTACAGGGTACCTACTGCAAAAGGCCAATATCAAAATTCTCATCTATGGTTTAATGAGGGCAGACCAGTATGAAGCAAAAGTATTTTTTTTTAGAAGTTTTTAAGGTTCTCTCCCCATTTCAAAGGAATAAAGCTATCCCAGACAAATGTTTAAAGTCGTGAAAAGTGAAAGGAATGAAGGACTAAAAATTGTAATTTCATCAAATTTTGAAAAATGTAATTTGACCCATGTATATAGCAAACTCCTATTGGTCTAGGATTCAAATAGTAAGGCCAAGAAAAGGGAAAAGGAAAGAAATACTTTATTTATACATTCAAATTCTACTCTTCAGAAAATCCTATAGCAAGTAGTAAACTAGGTAATTTGGACCTACCCTCTTGCTGAGGACAAAGAAAGCTAGAAAAAATACAGTTTTTAAAAAAATTGCCTCAAAGCATAGGCCTAGCAAATAATGAAAAATTACTGAGCCAAGATTCAGCAGATGGCAGAGGAGACCTGTCACCTCACACTGCCTCTCCGACCTAGGAGACCGTTTCGCTCCAAGAGCATCTGGCAATTCTAGAAGAGAGGCCAAGAACAGACACAGTGCTAAGGGAACAAAAGCTGGGGTTCAGGGTCGTCACAGGACAAAACTCTCACACCTGGGATTAGGACCCCAGGGTCAGAGTAAACTAGAGGCAGGCAGAGCGGACTCTGCAGGAAACTCTCCTGCCCTAGGTTATCTCTGTCCCTGAAAGTGGGTGACAGTGACCCCAGACTGAGAGTGTCCCCCTCTCTCCCCACCCTGGCCGAGGGAAACGTGAATCCTCTGGGAGGATGAGACAACTTCCTGAACTTCACACATTTCTACAAACAAGTTTGCAAATATTATATCTGGCACACAAAGAAATAAGATCACGTGGGCCGATACAAGAAACAAAATAAACCGACAGAGATGCCTGATATGGAATTTAAGGCAGACTTTAAAGTAACTGTGCTTACTATGCTCAAAGAGGGAGAAGACAAATTTCAGAATGTTGACATGTAACAGGAAAATACTAGAAACAACGGTAACTCTGGAATTGAAAGGTACAATATTACAAATTAAGAACTTAGTAAGTAGATAAAAGCAAATAAGTCAGAAGAAAATGTCCAGATAAAGCACAACAGGATGGAGAACATGGACGAGAGGGAAAGAGGCACAGAGGATACTCAAGAAAGTCTAATTTAAATACATTTTGGGGGAAAAAAGGAGAAAAACAGAAGTTATATTTAAAGAAATAATGACTAAAAGTCCAAAACTGAGTAAAGATATCAAGCCACAAATTCAAGAAGCCCAGTGAGCCCCAAACAGGAAAAGATAAAAAGAAATCTACCCAGACATATAATAGGAAAACTATGAAAAACTAAAGACAAAAAAAAAAAAAAAAAAAAACCCTTAAAAGCTGCCATAGGTGGGGACAGAGAGATTCCATTCAAAATACGCAAAAGGAGCAGCAATTAAATAGACAATGGTCTTTTCAATAGAAACAACATTCAGAGGCCAACAGTATTTAAAGAAAACAATTACTTAGAAATCTATACCCAGAAAAAAAACTCAGCCGAGAAAGACAGAATAAAGGCATTTTCAGGCAAATAAAAAGGGGTTAATGCCACCAGCAAACCTGAACTGAAGGAAATCCTAAAGGATATCCCTTCAACAGCAGGAATTCTCCTAGATGGAAGATGAAAAACACAGGGAGAAAACACAGCAAAGGAAAACAATAAATAGCTGGATAAATCACTGTTGAAACTAACTAAAACTAACTACAATGACAGTCAATCTGTTATTGTTTGTAACATAACAAACAGCACACGCGAATCAAAAGACAATGAATAAAAGACTAGAGGTAAAGGGAAGTATTTCTAATCCAGGCTTTGCCCCTGACTGGCTTCGTTGATTTCTGGTAAATCTCCATCTCTCTGAGTCTCAATTATTCTGTTCTCTGGGTCTCTTGCTCTAAGAGGTTCGTGATTGATGACTGGAGTTCCTTTTGCTGCCCTACACAAGACATACTGAAGAACTATTTTCAGAAACTAAACATAAAACTACCACATCCACGCACTTTAGTAATGCACTTCAATTTCAGAAATTTGATTATGCAACAACCTTGATGCTCTACATGTTTATTTACTTACACATATTTTTTACACATTCCAGAGATTCAAGGGAAAATCAAATTCATTTAGATAATCTGTGTAGAGACTAAGATGGCCTGTGACAGTGGGTTGAGAGGGAAAACCTAGCTGCAAGTCTGGTCTCTGCTGAATAGCAGCAGTGGCCATTAACCAGCCCTGTCACTGCGGGATGACAGCAACTGTGCAACTTTCTTCTGTCAGACTGCAGATGCTACACAGTTCAGGGCATCACTGTACAGACTGCATTTCATAGCACAGATGACCACGGTGTCTAAGAAGTAACTTAGGATGCACATGTAGAGGAGGCCCAGCTAAACAACCTACAGATCAAAGCCAATGGACCACTACTGTGTGTGAAGTGCCACACGGTACTCAGCACCACAGAGACAAATGAACTCACAGGAATCTCTGAATGAGCTCTAAAATTTGCAGTCTGAAAGGAAATGAGCACCCGTCAAGGGAATTCTAGCTGTACAAATGAACTTAAACCCTAGAGCATAAAGCAGACTGCATGATCTAAAATTTATAATGTACATTACAGATCTAAAACGCTGGCAAAAGCAGTAACAGACCAACCAGGCCTGCAGCAAAGCTCCCAGTCACACTAAACAGTAGGACCAAATAAAAGGGTCACTCAGGTGACAGGAAGCAAACCATAAGTGGGTTTACCACACTTCTGTTAACACATACATGGCATCAAAGATTGTTCACACTTTATTCATGTCAGTTAAAGTGATATTCATCTTCTTTCTGATACTCAAACATGATACAATGAAACATATACTATATACATAAAGTTACTATTAATCTTCTATATAATAGGAAGTCAATAAATTCTTGTTGAATGAAGAAAATGAACTTATATGTAACAGATAAAGCATTGCAGCAATAGTAGTATGTTCCAAGTTTAGTGGACCCCAATATATCAATATTTGTATATTTAGTTTAATCTTGTCTACTTTTTATTTCTCTCATTTTAAAACATCTTTCCTAAGATTCACAATCGAATTCTGTGCTATTTAAAAGACAGCAATACGACAGACACCACCTTCTCAAAAAGTGGTACACAGACAAGACTGCCAGATGATACACACGTTCGATGCTGACAAGAACCACACACGGGTGGGATTAAGTCATTGAGAGGGTTCTAAAGACTTGGATGCTTCCCCTGTACTGTAAAACCACAAAGCAGGCAACATGTAACTCTATTCTTGGAAACTGGTATCCCACTTTTCTGTTAACCAGTAAGGACCTCTGGAAAGAGGCTATGCCTATGCA